TTGACGTTTATTTTCGAAGTATTCGGTGCTTTTAATGCTAATAAATGACTTCCATCAATATTTAGCAAATAGAAAATTCATATTATAAAATTTTCTATATTGGGAATATTATCTGTATATTTTCCAACGCGAGATTAGCAGTACGCGCATCATTTAAATCATTAGAAGACATTATTTACCCATTAATTTCACATTGATACGCGCTATAAAATTTAAAAATGAAGACACTTATAATAGTTTGACTCCATTATTCACTACAAACCGCAAGTTTCGCGATTTGGTGTCATTCAAAACTTTCATTTCATTTCACTTTAACGCCACAACAATATAATAATTCAGCATATATTTCTAGTTATATTTATTCATCTTGATACAGTAATTCAGCAGCCGTTGAATTGTACCGCCTCATTCCATTTATGCCACGCCAAGAAAAACAGCAATAAAAATAAGTTCTTTAATAAGTACAGCATTGCAGGTGTCCCAGCAAGCCGGGCAAAAACGCTCATTAAAGCCAGCAGAATTTTGCGAAAGAATGTAAACTGATGCTGGGATCATAGCTTAAATCGTGGCTTGATTTTAATGGCAAACGACCAGCCGTTTACTGATGGAAATTGAGGAAGCATTCTTAAATGTTCTCCTAATGGCCGAGTAAAATCTTAAATTAATATCATCGTATGGATTAGATGATATAATAGTTTTTTAGGAAGAAACTTGATGAGTTTGAGAAGCGAAAACGTTCTTCCAATACGAGAGCAAAAAGGTGAACAAAAGTTAAGATTTTTCTCATTTATGCTATACTAACTTGGCAGTATCCGATTGAACCATTTGAAAATCATGCAATGTTATTTATGCATTCGAATAATTTTTTGTACCTAGATCGCGATTAGATTTTGCATAGGTCTTGGAATGAGAGCGAAAAAAAGTTTAAAAGGGTTTTGTAAGGTTATTTTGGAGGAAAATTTTTTAAATTTTCCACTTTGTACATCAAGCAGTTATATGAAAAATATGCTTGGAAATTTTTTACTTGAACTTTTAGCGAATCCGCAATGAAGAAAGAGCGTTATCGGCAGTAAAAACATAAAAACCTTTACAAACATTTCTAAGCAGCCAAATTTGCGGTATTTTTTCTTATTATAGCCAAATTTGCGACATTTCCAAATCTCTTTTTCTAACTTTAATTTAACACACTATATAAATTCTCAGAAATATTAATAGAATAAAATTGAAATCGTCACCGAAATTTTATGCAATTGAAATAAGATAAATAAGAATTCATATCAAAAAACATAGCTCGATCGCTTAAAAAGTTGTACAATGTACAATGTACAACTTGTGTACAATGTACAATGTACATTGTACAATGTACAATGTACAATGTACAATGTACAATGTACAATGTACAATGTACAATGTACAATGTACAGTGTACAAATGTATACCGTTATTAGGATAGTTTATGACAATGCACCTTCTTTTACAAATCCTATATTTAATATGTATCATCACCTGATCGCAGCTCATGAGACTAGGACTAAGTTCTGGTTCAAGTCCTCCTAAAATTCTTTACTAAGTGAAGCCGAGACACTCACTTTCTTATATGAATTGTTTAAATGGACCTTTTGGCCTAACCCCTGAATATATCTGGCTTCAGTGAAAGGTTTTGTTGGAGCAAAGGCTTGAGTATTTTACTACTGTACTGCTTAATTATTTAACTACTCTACTACTTATATGTTTTGCTACTGTACTACTTATATATTTTACTACTGTACAGCTTATGTACTCAACTACTGTATGGCTCATGTATTTTACTACTGTACAGCTTATGTATTTACCGACTGCTAATTGAACGCATCCGTGCAGTAGAAATTTCTTATTCAAACTGTTTTCTTGCAGTAATGGAACCAAAGACACATGTTCAAATGAACAACTATAAATATATAAAGCAATCTTGCATGCAAATTTTTGTGCTTCCATGTCATGAGGCGGTAAATAGTGGGCATTATTAGGTCAGAAATAAAATCACCGTCTTGTTCATGGAATGGAATCCTACCCACAATCACCCACGATTTTTATAACAATACACTGCCAGCAACTTGATGGGAGAGTCTGAAGTGAGACTTCCCGATGATAATATTGAAGATGAGATGCGGGAAAAGCCCATATGTCACAATGATATGCTCTTTTAAATGTATCCCTTTCGTTTAACTTCAATTATTTAATTTCGCAATTGGATTATCAAATATCAGTTTAGAGTGAATTATATCTATGGAAATAGACATAAGTGAAAAATGGAAATATTGATGGCACTCACTGAATTGTGCAAGGACTTTCAGCATAAACTAAATACATTGTTCGAAACATCGCATGAGCTGCAAATGCTAGAATTTAAAATTATTATAGCCTACTTACATAAAATATATAGAAATTTGCTTTTTAAAATAGTATATGGACAAATTTAAATGATGAACAATAAAAGGCCAAGTTTTTTTTTTGCATGGGCCCCAAATCCCTGCTTCTCGGCAAAAATCACGAATAAAAATAACACATGGGGCAATAAACATTTTAATGCCAATCATTATAAACTTATGAATACAGCATTATGCATGTATAAATTCATTCAAGTGCCTGCTGACAACTAAACGCATGACATTTACTCTGCGTATTTGTACGAAAATCTTAATTAGGGGAAATGTACCCATGCTTTTTTAATTTGATTATATGGTACGTTCGTTCTTAAATTAATTTTAATTTGGATTCTGCGTGAATGTTTAAGATAGAGTTAGAACGATGAATGCAAGCAAATTAAATATATTTCCATAAGATTTGAAAAATGAATTTTAAATCAAATTCGCCCCAATTCACGAAGGTATCTTAGTATTCATGAATGATGGATGGTTCGTAGACTCAAGACCCATCACACCCTGTAGGCGGGAAGTTTGGTTGCACATTAGCATTATTAAGAATTCGGCGCGTAGTGAAACATTCTTTATATTCACTAAAGCAAATAAGGATTGTACTCATTTTTGTTCAAGACACGTTTTGAGCATTTAAAACGTATAAATTATCATTTGCAGAATTATAAGAAAAAATATATTTGTGTGAATAATCCACAAAATTCATTCCAAATATTCTTGAATTATTATGAGTGTATTAGATGCGAATATACGATATACATACACAAGATGGATAATAATTAATTACGCAGTAACGCATTTTTCTATAAAATCACTGGAAATTATAAACGTTTTATTTCGTAAAATTTTAAATGAAAGACGCTGAACTAAGCCACATATGTTTTTACAGTAAAATTTCAATGGGGCAAATCAACTGTTTTAACTGCGAGCTGGACTATATTTACCAGATACTGATTACATTTAGATTCTCACTGCTTAAAAGCCGCGTTGCCCATGCGAGTTTTTACCTAACTTTAAATACCAAGACCTCGAGAGATGTTGCTCTTTAGCTTCAATGAAGGCTGAGAAATAAATGACCATTGAAACATTCTCATTGAGCAGCTGCCACACAAAGACCAGATCCAATCACTGCCATTAGCAACTTTTCGTCCTATATAATGCAGGGTTATCGAAGTACTTGGTCAAATTCAGAACAGAGGTGAATTTTTGATGTAATCAAATGTATCCATCTAAGTGACCGATTTTATAATTTAGTTAATTAATTTATTAAAAAATTAGATCGGCACTCACTGCAGTGAGTGACAGCGAGCGCATTTTCTCCTCCGCCCGTCCGTGAAGTCACGGACGGACGGACGGACGGACGGAAGGACGAACGGACGGACGGACGGATATGACGAGCACAATAGCGCCTTTTTTCCATAAATGAGAAAATGCGGTAAAAATTCGACTTGACATAGAAAATTTTCTATAATGTCCGATAAAATTCGTATAAATATAATATGTACTGGGTAGAAAATCACGTCAACAGTGTAAATTGAATGCTTGCAATGAATATAATTGCTATGAATCACTTCGATTCGAAACATTGATAAGAATTAAAGTTGACAATGTGAGCAGATATAGTGTGGCACAGAATCGTACCACACCAATTATTAATAATTAATGAAGAATTAAATAACTATAACGAACTACATATTAATTAATATCATTATTTGTTCCTCACAATTCGAGGGGGCTGCACAATTAATAAAATTTGAAGTCGGTGCATGCATTTTCACTTCCCTCGATCTTGGCACAGAAAAAAGGCCGCACTGATTATGTTCTTGATGAATATACTGGACCGGATATCGAAAGGGAAACGAAATTTTGAACATAAATCAAGAATAAATTCATAATTAGTTCATTGTCTTTTTCTCATTTTTACTCATAAGTTGAGATTTTTGTATATAATATCTGCTTAATTGGAAAATTACTTGCAGCTGAGAAAATACATTAAATTTTCCAGCATTAAATAGGTATCGAAATATGGATTAAAGTTGAATGTATACCACGTCCGGAATAGATAAATAATAAAATCAATTAGTCATATATAATTTTGGATCATTATTATCTAAATTAATCTCACTTACTTTTTACATGTCTGGAAAAGTCCCATGTAAGTAATATTCTATGCGATTAATATGCTTTTAAATACTTCACGGCGTCAAAAATAAAACTTTTTACTCTCTGATATCACTTAGAATCATAGACAATACATTTATTGCCGGTATCAGTGCTACGAAATAAGCTGTTGCACAGAATTTTATGACCATTAATTAAAGGCTACCGCAAAACAGAAATTTAATATTACCGCCAGGCTGGTTAGACAAAATCCTTCATATATCAGATAAAAATTATTTCTGCACTTAAAACTCAAATGAATTTTTCTTGCAGGAAAGATCCGCAAGATCCGGGCCTCCAGAAATACATAAAATAAACGCGGATCTTTCCTGAGACCAAGAAGACAACTGTTGCCGCTCAAAAATGAGTGGAAAATAATTTTCGCAAATGTCACTACAATATTTTGGACTAATTAAGACTGCTTACCTAGAGATCAGCCAGTATTCGGATTTCCATTCGACGCCCGATCCTGAGAAAAAGAACATTAACATTAATTTAAACGCGAAAGAGAGTTTTTTATCTCCAATTATCAGCGCAGAATAAAAATGAAAACATTTGCAACTGTGAGTATTATAAAAATACAGAGGGGGCAAAAATTATTAATTATAAATAACAGCAGCCGAATAATAAGGGATATCAACTTTTTTTTGGTAGGTAGATGCCATAATCAGATCGATGAGGATATTTTTATAATCATCGTTCGAGTGTGCGTAGAAATACAGTGAAAGTAAATTCAACGTAAGGTAAAATTATGAAATGAAAAGATAACAAAAACCGTTCAAATTCTTATAGAGTAATGAAAGTAGTACATTAAAATTCAATATTCATTTATTCATGAAGAATAAGGGTGGGACTTCGTCCTATTCAACCATGTTATCAGAGATTACATTATTCCCGTAAATATTTTCAGGTTAAATGGAAATATTGGTATCAATTGTCTTCGAGAATTTATGCTTAATGATACGAAAAAATTTGGAAACATATTCATGGAATTAGGAAACAGTTTATTATTTAATCACATGTTGTTTTTGTATGAAGAATATTGAGCGGTTGTACGCCTTGCAGTAGACATTGGTTTACACTATTGGGCATTTCAAAGATGATGTCTAACACCTTGTAGACAATTAAAAATTTTAGATTTTTAAACAAACCAAAACTATTCAAAGTATTTATTTCGCTAAGAAATTGTTAGAAATAAAATTTTGTGACATGTAAATTGTAAACACGAGAAACGATTTGGTTTCCACAAGCACTAAACAAAGCTATGTTTCTGCGAAACCATTTATAAACAATTTTTATAGTATAATAATTATGATATACGTAATCGGGGATCAGAAGAAATGCACTGTCCAAATAATGAGTCACAGTTGAAATATGTTCACAGAAACAATGAAAAAAACCATCAACTTCCGTCGAATGTGGCAAAAACCGGCTCATGTCAATAGGATTTACGGATACGACCATCGACCGTTGCCGTATGGTTGATGGAAATCTAGGATGACTGACAATGGCTTATTCTACTGCAATAATACCCGGAGAGTTGATGATACCTGAATTAAAGTTATTTGAAAAGTTTTAGCACATTTTTTTAGATGATGAAGATTGAATTAAGCACGAGCGTTGAGATGTAATTCATCTCAATGAATTGGCATTAATTATGCATGGAAGAATTTCTTATGGGCCAATCGTGAAAGATGATAAAAAATAATATTCATCAATAATTATCCGACGACTGTGAGCAAAATTATCTGGAAAATGTTCTTTAAATTGCATTTTCGTGTCAATGAACGTACTCGTAAACAGGATTTAGAGCTTCAATATGAGTGAAGGCATCAGCTTTGATATAAAAAAATCACTTACATAAGACGAGGAAATGAGTGCTTTTATTCCATATTCATGTTTAAAGTACAACCCTCTTTAGCAGTTTCAATTTAAATAAACTGAATTTTCGGCCGTCATTTTCCAAGAAATTGATATAAACATTCACTTAATTTGCATTTAAAAGAAAACGGCGCACAAGCACCTCAGAGCTATAAAACATAACTATTTACTAAATAATGTTTGTGAATATTAATAAACTTTTAACACGGCTCGTAATTTAGGAATCGTCAAAATCGTTAAAAATGCTTAATTGCTCTTCTCAAATTCGAAAAAAATATTCATGGTTAGCTGCAGTAATCAATTACTTGTTATCTGCGAGACTTCGTCTAATTAGAATTCTCTTGCAAATGAAGGCTTTGAATGTCGTTTTGAATTAATATATTTAATCGCTGATGCGTGTCTGTGTCGGTAAAGTTGTATCTCAAGTGCATAAGACAAATTTATGAAGTGAGTCAAAGTAATCTTCCGTTGGAAGGGCAACAGTTAACCAACCCTGCATGATTCACAGAGACAAGAAGTTTTCTGGATCGAAAAAGCGAGAAGTTAGCCGTGATTTTTGACGGTTAGTAATTTGGTTGTGCCTAGCTCATTATACAAAAGTTTTTCTAACGAAAATAAATAATTGAATATATAATCAATAAATGTTTATGTTGTACCATTTTAAATTTGTTTTTAGATGTCAATTAAGTAAATTAAAAAAAAATTACACGAATTATTTCAATCATCACTGATTTCAAATTTCCCTTCACAATTATTTTCGAGTCTGCATGAGTTTCTTGAGAGCTTTGATAGTGATGAATCAGAATGAATTCGGGAAATATCCTGTTAAAATCAGAAAAAGAATTGAATGTTCCATAGAAAATATGAATAGATACTCTTCCCAAAACTTAAATTACCCTTAAAACTTTTACATTTACTTGTAAATCAGCGAAACCTTAATATTAATAATTCTAAAGAAAATTCGAAGTCGAGAAAATCTTAATTCTTTTTTTTTTTTTTTTTTGCAAAAGCTGCACAGAACAAAGACCGTCCCACTGTATTATTCAAATCTGTGTTATTCAATGTTTTATGCTCGTCGTTTAGGAAGAATTGAGTTTTTTATGTCATTCGAGCTCGTCTGTACGTATTATGCGTGGAGTTAATAAGGCGAGAACGGAAGGGTGGGACATCGCCAGCAAGAAATAGACCACGTCGTTTCGAGCGGCAATACATGTCAGGCTATAATGTCATATTTTACAAACATAATATGACATATCATTGTTTTTCAAAAACTAGTATCATCTAGTTTTTAATTGAAAATAGTTCTTCTAATATCATTAATTATTATTATAACATAAGAGAGCTATAAATATATTAATCGAACGAGAGCATCAAAATTTACGATAACATCCGGTTTTTTAACCTATTTATACTTATAAGATAATTACTCAAAGGAATGTTTTATTGTTGTTGGTATAATATTGTTGTTGGAAGAAAAATATTTCATTTTACGCTGGAATTATTAATAACGTTTTTCAGAAATTGTAATTCTCATAATAAATTGTAATCTCCAAAACAACACGGGAATACGTCACAAAAAGTTTCACTTGCTGTCCTTGAATATTGTAAATAAATTAGTTACATTAACAGTTCTAACTAATCATTAATATTTAACCAATTTATAACTAGAGGGCAAACATAAACTAATTCACAATGTTCTCAACATGGGAAGGCGTCTAAATAAAACGCAAATATTTAACACTAATGGTGTCCAACGATCATTTTAGTTTGTGTTTCTAAACTAAAATCTTTCAGTGGCAGCTTTGAGCTTAAGTTTAAAAATGCAGAGAAAAATTGCCGTGATGACGCGATAGCATAAATACGAAGGCCAACTTTCGGCACCACAGGATGTTTATTACGTTGATTGAAGCGGTATCACAGATTGGTATATACGTGAATGAAGATAAATGTTAATTGATGAAGCAACTTTTTTATTTGAAAATGACTTCAGAACAGATCCCATAATTTTTCTGTTTTGACTATGAATGTTTGACATGTTTTTTTTTTTGTAATATTCCACATTTCTCCTCCATCAGTCACTTTTAATTGAAAAAATTTAATTTGAGAAATAGATAAAATATATTCTATGATACAATATCCAACCATCCTTCAGATTTCATTGGCGGGGAAACAGAAATCCCTCCATAGAAGATATGAAGTCTTAAATCCTCTATAATTACCTCAATCTGATAACTGGACCAAGTTGACAATCGACACACGAGTCGCAACAAAACATAAAGGATCCGTAACCGTGTCTGCCTTGATTCCCTAAGTATTGTTTCCGACTTCATTGGGCCAATTGTGAACACGAAACTAATTACCAGTTCTTGCGACAGTGAAACCAGTTTTTGTGAGGTGCACAGGAGCTTCGAGATGGATGTACAATGGCAAGAAAATATTTTAACCAAACCTTGGATGTAACGCTCAGTATATAGGTATAAATTTAATTTTTCTCTGCATCCGCTAAATAAAGAAATGTATGGAAAATTTCAACCAATATTTTACCTTCAGCTGGCGTTAATTATGCCGAAAATAGCAGAATGAAATGTTGAACTTCTAAAATATGACCCCAACATTTTAATGATATTTGGCGCATTGGAACAATTTTGTTCATAATTTATTGGCCAGTTCGTTGGCGCAATTTCGCAAACATATTTTTAGGAGTAAAATTAAAATAGGGCGTTTAAATGTACCTTCACCCACATATATCAATACAATTCACAAATATCTACGGCACAACATTAGTTGAGCGTTATAAATTTGCTCTCGTTTCTTTTCGCTTCTTGCGAGTCGCGAAATGATCACCCCATTTGACACGATCTGTACATAGATATGTACCGAGGACGGTACATGCAATCGAGCTAAAAAATATGTTGGGTTACTAACTATGTGAGACATGTTACCATTGACATAGTAAATCGGATACTTTTTCCTTGATCCAATCTATTGCTTTCAGAATGAAAATTTAAGTCGCACCTATTTGTTGACTGCAAGTTTTCTTTGTGTATTATAACACATGGCAGTGTGAAGAGACCGGCACACCCTATAGCTGTATCCAGATGTCAATTAGCTTTAATTATTAAGAACAATTGTCTTGCTTGCAGCCTGCTCCATTGCAGTACTCATCCTTTGATAACACGTTCATATCATGTCTATATCTTACCTATCAGTGACGTGAACCTTCGTTAGGGAGCGTGTATATACCGAACATGCTGGAAAGTTTTAACTGAAAAAGTGACAAGTAAGCTTTATAGGCTTGACTTCATGGCCTTTTTGCTTGAGTGTCTTAATGAGAGAATTTTTGCGTTAGAGTTCGAGAAGGAGATTCTGTGTAAACAAGCGCTATAACGGAACCGAGCAACGGATAATGGCCAAGCCTTAATTCTTATAAAAAGTAGAGAATTTCTCAGCGTTTTATTGCGGCTTGACCGACCTTATGAATGGCCGTGCACCCAGAGTGGGCTGAATTGAACTTAAGTCATCCATGACCATTTGTAGCATTTGTGATCCAGAGCAAAAACATTTGGAAGCTTTTAAAGATTACATGTA